AACCAAAGCTAGTGGTGTAGGAGCTGATGCTACAAGCTCTTCGCAAGGAGCTGAGGAGTTCTAGGCTGATCTGGCGCCAGCGTGATCTAGCTTATCGGAGCACAGACAAGACAGCACTGGCAAGAAACTCAGGGGCAACGGGGTCACACACACTTGACCCGCCAATTAGGACCTTCCTATCACCCATATTTTTTTGCCGTGCTGTACGATGACACGCTGGCAGCAGCGTCGTCAAGATCCCCCCGGACCCTGGCCCTGCGATGCGATGACGACAACGAGTCATGTAATGACGTGCTTTCAGAGAGCTACGATTGGTTCTTTCCCCCTTGATATCCGTGTACGACGTCGCAAAGCTGGCTTTTCACGTCGCATCACAGGTAAAAGGAAAGTTGCGTTGCGTCATCGTGGCCCCACTGCCAAGCCAACCCTCTTTCACAACTACCACACCACACCACACCACACCACACCACACACATCGGAAAGATCGCCGCCGCCATCACATCAAGAAATGACCCAGCTATGTTGGAATAGCACTTATTATCGCATCGCAGTTCTCTGCAGGGGTTTCTTTTCCTACCGTCTGCTTGGACCACACAATTGATAGCCTTTTACTCCCGCTTGGTCGGCCTAGTATTCGCGCTTCGTGCTGAAAAAATCCGCATCGGTGAGAAGAGACAGATGACAACGTCAACTCGTCGATGGCGACCAGCAGTATCCACAAGGTCAGGGAATTTAGAAGCTTCGGCGTCCAGCAGTATCAAAATATATGGTTCTCTCGTTATTTTTGTTAGAAGGTGTTCCAAGAGCAGGATGCAAGCTTATGATTGAAGCAAGCATGAGTGCTCGGCATTTGTTTTTATTTTATTGGTCTCGGACCAATCTCCATTACATGCAACGCCAATCACATGCTCCCCAACCCTTCATATCCTTCCGTTCTGACATTTCTCCTTGTTTTCTCGTTTTCCGGCTCGCTCTTTCTCCCACATCCTCTCATCATCCCGTGTTCCCTTGCCCTCCTGTCCCCTGCACCAGGCCCGCAAAAGCCTCAAGCCGTCTCCCGCGCTAAATCAACGTCGTGAAGCTCCGCACATCCCACATCACCTCTCCGCTCTCGTTATAGTGTCGCAGCCTCTTACGTTACGTCTGCGGAACCTTGCGTAGGGCGTTGCGACTCAGCCGCCGCGAGTCTCGGGTCAGCCCTTCGTTTGGGTTTTAAGGGGGCGGGTTGCCACTGCAACACATGACGCTGTCCGCTAGGGGTAAGTGTGAGGGCCAGTCGTGGCCGCCACCAGATATCACCTCCACCAATCCCACCAGCGCCGCCACCAATACCACCAGCACCAACAGCAGCGGCACCAGCAACAGCAGTAGCAGCAGCAGCATCATCGGCAGCATTCCGGCCACCTCCACCCCCTCTGACCCGGCACCGCCGCTGTGCGCGGGGCCTGAAGTGACGGCGGGAAACGCGGAGCTTCGGACACACTCCAGAGATGGCGAATGTAATATAATTCGCTCTGTCGTCAATAGAAGTTTCTCCGAAAGTCTCTCCGATAGTCTTGGTACCCAGCCCGAGGTAGCTAATAATATCTTAACGGTGTTTCGGGGTGATTTTACCTCCAACGCGTGTCAGGCTCGTACGGATGTAGCGGGTGTGGATGAATCAGACGATGCCACGTGTCCCATCTCGAGATTGCCGGATGATGTGCTGCATTACATCTTCTTCCTGGTTCAGTGGCATAACTCCGTGCATCCTCCCTTCCACTCCATGCTCTGCCCTCGCTCGAACTACCACTCGCCCTCTCACTCCCACTCCCACGCTCACGCGCACGCCCACACTCACACCCATTCCCACTCCCACTCTCACTGCCACGCTCATTTTTACTCCCAATCCTTCTCTCGCTCCCAGCTTCCCTCTCACTCCGCCCCATGCTGCTGCTGTTGCGCGTTCCTCTCCTGCCCCCTTCCCCCACCCCCTTCCCTCGCGCACGCGCTCGTTTGTCGCGCTTGGCTCCCCCTTGCCTGCCAATCTCTCGTTTCCGCCTGTCTTCCCGCCGGCTCGGGGCTCCCCCTGCGCGCGGTGCTCCGCCTGCTCCGCCAATGCGCGGAACTCCGCAGCTTAACAATCCCCCCGGGGAGCGTTGTATGGCGACGGAAGGGGGGAAAGCGGTGTAAGGACGGGGCAGCGTCAGGGGCAGGGGGAGTGAACAGGGGAAAGGGAGGAGGGGCGGGAGAAGGCAGAGGGGAAAGGGGAGGAGGCTGGGCGGAGCGGAAATCAGGGTGGCGCAGGACAGGGGAAGCAGGGGAAGACCATTCCGAGGCAGTTGCTCTTGTAGGAGCAGGGGAAGGGTCCTATACTGAAGCACCAGCAGCAGGAGGATCAGTCACGGCAGTCACGGCAGTATCGGGTAGAGAAGCAGGAAGCGGAACAAGCGGAAGAGAAGGGGGACAATGGCGTATCGGGGGAGAGTTTGGGGGAAATACGAGTGGAAACGACGGGGTGCGATGGGGAGGCGAGCAGGCGTGGGGGGAGCATGGGCATGGGGGCCATGGGGGGCATGGGGGCCATGGGGGGCATGGGGAGGAGAGCGGGGTGTGGTTGGGTAACTCCATGCTTACCCCTCGCATCTCTCCCTCTCACCAATATTTACCCCAGACTACACACAGAGGCCCATGGTGTTCTTTCCCGCCTAACCCTAACCTTAACCCTAACCCTAACCCTATTTCTTACCCTGACCCTAAGCCAAACCCCAGCTCAGTTGCTCCCCTCTCGCTTTCCTCTTCCAACTCCTCCAGCTCACGCCTTGTGTTCCCCTTTTCCCCTCCTCCTCGGGCATCTCCCTACCCATACACTCATGGTAGCCCATGCAGCCACCCCTTCCCTTCTTCCCCTTCCCCCCCTTCCCCTCCTTTTTCCCCTTCTCTCCCTTCCCCTTCTCCCCTTAGTCCCCCTTCTCCTCCGTTCTCCCCTTCCTCACCTCCCTCCTCCTTCCCTCCTCCTGATCCTCTCGCATCCTGCTCTGCTGCCTCCCCCCTGCATACGCACCTGACGGATCATCAGACTCGGAATCAAATCTGCAGCCACAGCACAAACCACCATCACAAGCTGCATCACAAGCACCACCACCATACGCCCCGAGACAGCCTAGACCTGTTTTTCACCCGCATTTCCTCCCTGCCTCTCCTCTCCCACCTCTCCCTCCTCTCCCTCCCTCCCACTTCCCTCACGCTGCCCAATTCCATCTCAAACCTCTCCTCCCTGCGCGTTCTCCGTCTCGGGCAGCTCGCACGGGCAGCAGCGGAAGAAATCTCCGGCGGCGTCCCTTTCAGCAGCAGTGCAGCAACGACTTTTGACCTGGTGGCACCAACAACCCTCCTGTCGCCCCACCAGCCGAACAGCAACAGCAGGGGCAGCAGCGGCAGTGGCAGCGGCAGTGACAGCAGTAGCAGCAGCAGCAGTGGTGACAGCGATTCTCATCTTGTATTTCTGCCTGAAGCGCTGGGCATGCTGACAGGATTAGAGGAGTTGTCTGTAGGCAGTGATTCTCTTGAGTGCCTTCCTGACTCCTTTCAACGCCTTGCGTCGCTGCGCTGCCTCTCCATCTCCTCCCCCATGCTTTCTTCAGCCCGTTTTCTCACACCTGACCCGTCACCTCCACTTTCACCGAAAGCCACAACAGCAGCGGCGGCGGCAGGAACAGGAGCAGCAGGAGCCAGGGAAGCAGTAAATCAACCCCCATGCAATCCCAGAATGCCCACATTCCCATGCCTTTCTACTCTCTACCTCGACACACCAAGCCTGATTTCTCTTCCTGATGAAATTGCTCTCAGCTGCCCGTCCATCAAATCCCTCCACTTGGTTAACTGCCAAAACATTTTTCACCTGCCCGCTACCATGCACCAGTTGTCCCAACTGGAGCGTTTGGAACTTCTCAACTGCACCGGAATTTCATATCTACCCAGCAACTTGGGCAGCCTGGAACGGCTCAAGTGGCTGGCTCTGGGATGTCCAAATGTTTTGACCCTGCCCGATTCCCTTGGATCGCTGACCGAGTTGCGCCACTTTTTCCTCCTCTCCTCGGGCTGCTCCCGGCTGCCTACAAATTTTGGGCAGAAACTAACAAAACTGAAAACACTGGCCCTTTCCAAATGCAGGGACTTGCTTGAGCTGCCCGCAGACCTCGGGCAGCTGGAGAAACTCAAAACCCTCTTCATTTCTGACTGCTGGCGATTGCAGCGGCTGCCAAAGGGATTTTTCTCCCTGCCCATGCTACGAACCCTGATCATCTACCAATGCGATGCACTCAACATCAAAGCCGAAACTTTCGACCACTGCCCGCAGCTGCGCTTTTTGAGCCTTGAATTCTGCCCGTCCCTTCCTGGCCTTCTCCAGTCAATAATGAGCCTGCCTTTTCTTTCAAGACTCCGCCTCCGTCCCTTCAAACACTCAAACCTCCACGATAGAAGTATCTTCTGCCATCTCTCTGTGCTTGATCTTGCACATTTTCAAGGGCTGCCCGAAAACTTATGTGCTCTTACTGGCCTCCGAGCGCTACATTTGAGCGACGTGACCAAGATTTCGCACTTGCCGCCCGGATTCAGCCAGCTGGCGTCGCTCAAAGTTTTGACGTTCGAGTTTTGCGACATTGTCGTACTGCCCGCGGACTTCGGGCAGCTGAAACACCTTGAGCTGCTGAGTTTTCAGGAGTGCCCGCACTTGAAGTCTTTCGGGCAGTCATTTGGATTGCTACCTAATCTTGCCATTCTCATAGCCTCCAAGTGCCCTTCACTCCTCTCCCTGCCCCAAAATATTGGGAATCTGCGCTCGCTGTGCAAGCTTGTTATTTCAGACTGCCCGAACTTGCGGGGTCTGCCAATGTCCTTCAGCGCCTTGACCAATCTCGTGCTTTTAAAGCTGCCCGAGGGCGATGATGTGAAGCTGCCCGAAAGCCTTTCTCACTTGACAGCACTGCGACAGCAGCAGCAGCAGCATCAAGAAAGGAATGGAGGGGAAGCGGAATGGGAATCAACAAGTTTTCTACAGTCCTTGCAGGCACAGGAGGGATGTGGGGGAGGAGGGGGAGGGGGAGGAGGAGGAGGAGGAGGAGGAGGAGGAGGAGGAGGAGGAGGAGGAGGAGGAGGAGGAGGAGGAGGAGGAGGAGGAGGAGGAGGAGGAGGAGGAGGAGGAGGAGGAGGAGGAGGAGGGGTGAGGGGAAGCAGTGGGCAGGGAGGGAGTGCGAGCTTTCTTCATTTGCGCAAGTGGCTTGTACGTGCTGCTCTCCGCTCTTACTCACACCCTTACAGGGTCTCGCCCTTAGTCTTTCATTCTGTCACTCCTTAAGTCACTCCTATCACGTCTTCTGCCACTCCTCCTTCCTCCTCCTGTAATCATCCTGTCCCGCTTCTCGACTGCCTGTCGCAGCTCGACTCGTGGTTCCATGTTGTTTGTTTCCCGCCAAGTTGCACAACCCCATTGCACTCCCTGCCATTCCCATGCCCTCCCTCCCATTCCCATCCCATCCCTCCCTGCGCGGTGGTGCGTGCAGGAATTCAGTTCAATGGAGCGAACAATGAAGCGCTTTGAGGAGGCCTTTGACTCTGACTCATGACTCCAAACTGACTTTTGAGTCGACTCAAAAGTCAGGAGGCATTTGACTCTGACTCATGACTCCGTTTTTTAGTCGACTCGAAAAGCGTGCGATGAAGCGCTTTGGCTCTGACGCATGACTCCTCACATGTTTACCCCCACACGCCCACTCTCGCATGCACATGCGCGTGCATGCACAAACACGCATGCATACACGGGTGTCATTTATTTTAGCACTTCACTGCTTCCACTTACATGACCCGCATACCCTGATGATTTTGTGAACTGACCTTCAATTGAAATGGCAACGTTCGCTATGAAACCTTGTTGGGTGTGCATTTCAATATTTCGCCTGGTGACTCCATGTCTAGAGACATTGACTAGTGGCCCCTTCCATATGCATGCACGTGCCAGCTGGACAAACTGCCTACAGTCGAGAGTGATGAACTTGGGTTCGGTTGGGACTGGTGTCAATTTTACAGATACCGTACATTTTGGCATGTGTTGTGCACATTATACCATCATCGCCCGGATAGTATACAATTGTGAAAGCTTGCGATTTGCCTTGCAAATGCAACGTCTCATTTCAACTGGCAAGGACAAGATTTTATCGTCCAAGCATTATACAACAGAATAGCATTGTGCATCTTATGCTAGGGTGGGAGGGCGGGAAACTTGAACTTGAAAGTTCGAAATGAAAAACGTGGATGAAGGCCAAATGGCCTTCGCCCCCTCTTTTGTACCAAAAAGAGGGGAAGTAGCGGTTCGCCGAAGCCTTTGCTTCGGTACAATTCGCTTCGCTATTCACAATACACAATTTTAGAAAGTGTTTCACTTTCAAAAATTTACATATTGTGAAAGCTTGCGATTTGCCTTGCAAATGCAACGTCTCATTTCAACTGGGTCTTCTGAGACATGTGGAGAGGAGGTTGGCGGTGTCTCGTAATGGCGTGACGATGCTGTGAGGGGGAAGGTGCATGGGCTTCATCCTGGATGTCGCGAGAAGCTGCGATAAGGTGTTGCTGCGAGATAGTCACATGTAGGTCCTTTGCGGTCTCGCTTCGCCAACGCCCAAGTCGTTTGAAGATGCGATCTGGGACTCCCGCACTAGCTGCAACCGTGGCAGCTCCTTTGCGAAAGGAGTGGGTGCCAAGGTGTGTTGGGTCGATTCCTGCGGCTTCGAACGCTTGCATACACCATGTACGGATGGTGGTGTACGATGGGGCAGTGTCTAATGCGGACGGCGGCGAGCTGCGGCGGAAAACGCGGATCAGCGGCCCTTTGGATGTCGGTCCGTATTCCGCTAGCCGAATGAAATGGCGGGTGCACCTCACCGGACAGAGTGGTCCGTCAGTTGTGGCGACTGGGACCCATACACCCCTGCCCTCTTGGTCGGTCTTTGAGTGTGGGATTAGTAGCCACATTGCCGTTGCCTCGAATTGGATGTCCTCCCATTGGATAGCCACTAAGTCCGAGAAGCGCAAGAATGCTGAGTACATGAGCAACACGATGAGGCCTTTCTGATATGTGCCTGGTTGGCTCGATTGGAGGAATGGCCTAGCCATCGCGTGAACCTGATGAAGGGAGACGGGTTCCTTCACTCGTGCTGGTCGGGGGCACTGTCTTTTGGCGTAATCGCGTACTTGTGTCGTGAACGGGCCGCATGTTGGGTTAGCGGAGCCTGTCATTCGGTGGGCGTAGCTAATCGCGGCACATGTGAGCTGCACGCTGGAGACGGTGGCCTTGTGGTTGATCGCATGCACCAGGTAGAGTGCGACTGTGAGGTCCGCGGCAGGCAGGAAGGCCGCTTTTGCCTTGACGCAAAAACTCCTAAACTTCTCCCAATAAGGTTCGTATGTGTTGATTGTTGAGTCGGACCGTGTCTGGGCCGTCATTAACAGTAGCTGCTGATGCAGGTTCGGAATCATATCTGACATCATTATGAAAAAAAAATGTTCATAGATTAGGAATGGAAGTTAATTTAAAGTGCAAGGATTCTGCTAACAGGGACCGGCTCCTGAGAATGCGCCAGTATGCGAACCGACATGCAAGCACTGGCTACCGCTAGCAAGATGCAAACACGATGTTACGCCGACTGCCCAGGTCCTGGGCGAAGGCCGGAGCAGGGGCCACCATGGAGCACCCGTCCATTCGGGAATGACTAGCGTCAGCGTCGCAGATGTGCGCGCGGCGTGGCGCAGGGTGGCCGGGATCAGGTGAGGAGGGGGAAATGCAAATCCGTGTTCTGGTCCCCAGTCCTACGAGAAGGCGTTGACGGCAGTTGCACGTGGGTGGGGGACCTTCGAAAAGAAACGCGAGAGTTGCGCGTTATTGGCGTTTGCAAAAAGGTCAACCGTGTGTGGTCCCCAACGCCTCTCAAGTAATCGGAACCAAGGGAGTTTCAATGAATAGTCGTCGTTGTCTTCTAGCTTGGAGAGTGCGTCTGCCTCTACGTTGAGAGTCCGAGGGATCCATTCGATAGCCAGCCGAATTTCGTTTGCCATGCAAAGTGCGATGATGGACTTGCATAGGAGGGTGAGCTCGGGTTGCCCGGAACCACCTTTACAAAGAATGAAGAAAACGCCCTGGTTGTCCACGCGCATGAGCACATGGCGGCCTTGAATTTGGTTTGAGAATGTGCGCAGGGCCCAGAGCACTCCTTCGAGCTCTCGGCGTGTACTCGAGGTGGTGAGGAGCTCGTGCGGCATTGGGCTGCTGCCTTGCAGGTTTTCTCCAGGGAACGAAGCTAGGGTCGCACCCCAACTATGAGCGCTTGCGTCTACATGAATCACCGTGTCGATGCTGTGGGGCATGTGAAACGGCGCCCCGTTAAAACGATCGAAATTGTTGAGCCAGAAGTTGAGCTCGTCACGAGCCTCCAAGGTCAGGTGTGTTCTGCCATTCCATGATGGCGCAGTATTGATGAGTTCTAGGAGTTGGTGACTGAATGCTCGTGCCGTTGTGCCAAGAGCCAGCGCCATGGAAGCGAGGATGCCGGTGACCCGTGCGACAAGGCGGATTGGTATCCGTTGTCCACGCTCGTAGGCGGTGAGAAGCACCCGGAGCGTATGCATGAGTTGCGCTCGACGTTCGGGGCCGATGGTGAATCTTCCTGATTGGGTGTCCAACTCCATCCCAAGAAACTGCAGTTTCTGGGTCGGGGTGAGGTGCGATTTTTTAGCGTTGATGACAAGGCCCGACTGTCGTAGGTCCCGAATGATTGCATTACGTGTCGCGCGTGCTTTCTCCTTCGATTGGCAGAGGAATAAGATATCATCCACATATGGAATGACTCGAGTACCTTGCGCATGCCATTTTCGAGCCAGTTTTTTTATCAATTGAGTGAAAATGAAGGGTGCGGTTGCAAGGCCGAACGGTAACGACTTGAAGTAGTAATCCGTGCTGTCGAAGTGAAACCCCAGGAACTTCCAGCAGGACGGGTGGATATCGACGTGATGGTATCCGGACTTCAAGTCTATGGAGAACATCCAGTCGCCCGGTTGTGCCAACTCGGCGACTCGCGCCAAGCCTTCGTACTTGAATTTAGGAATAACGAGGTACTGGTTGACTTTTCTCAAGTCCAAGATAAGGCGACACTTGTCGCGCTGTTCCACGACGTTTAGTGGACTAGTACATGCGACGAGGAGTGGGCCCTCTGCGATTGCTGCTGCACCGGACGAGAGCAAGTCGGAGATTGCCGATCGTGTAAACTCGCTATGCCGCTCGACGCCGGCATGATTCTTGTTACGAAACGACGGTGGTGGGGCCGCTTTCCAAGGAAGCCAATATCCATTTGCTATGACTGACAGGATGAGACTGCTCTCGCACCATGAAGCCCACCAAGCGAAAGCTTGGCGCAATCGACCCCCCATGGTGGTGACTTCCTTGTCAGTGATCGCATGCTCCATGGTCTTACTCCATTCGCCCGGTCGTGAGGGACAAGCGCCTGCCATGGCGGTTGGGTTGGGTCAACAGTAGTCGTATATCAACCCTTTTAGGTCAAGCCACAAGGCGCTATTCCAACGTGAACATGTTATGCGAGTAGAACGAGGAAGAGTTCATAAGAATCAATCAGACGAACGTTGTAAAAACGACATGAACATGTATCTCGCACCAACCAACTTCTCGCGTGCTTGTGCATGCCCCAACAGCGAGGCATTAGAAACGTTGGAGGTAAGAGCAGTGACGCAGTTGCACACAATGATGTTCTACCGACTCATTCCCCTTCTCCCTCTCTCTCGTGCCCACAATGATGTTTTTTTTTTTTTTTTTTTTTTTTTTTGCCATGTGTGCTAGGGGGTGTGAATCGCAGGGTCTCACTCCCCTTGTCCTCCTATCCCGAGGCGTGGTTTAATGATTCTCGCACCATCGGTGCTTTGCCTCAATGGTTGTTGGTGAAAACATGTGTTCTTGAATCCCTTCCCTCTTTTTTTTTTTTTTTTTTTTTTGCCATGTCATGGCTTGGATAGGGACCATGCACCATAGGGGCCAGCGGCCTGGATCACACTTCCAATATAGCATTACAATTTCACGGCCACCCGGACCACACACGTGCACACGCACACAACACATTTTTTTTTTTTTTTTTTTTTTTTAATGGCCTAGAGCAATCCTTGCATCTAGCCTCGGCTAAACAGCCCACTCAAGGACGCCCTGGTCTTGCCCCGCCCTTCCACAACTCCTTTCCAAGGCACAAGGCATGGGGCGCCTTGGGGCAATGAGAGGAGGGGTGGCAAGGGATGTTCGGGCTTCGCTCACACCACCGGTGCGGGCCCATTGCCCCCATGGCCTCCATGGGGGCACGCGCTTGCCATGTGGCCGTGCTGGCCACAGCGGAAGCAGGTGCCTTTGAATCCCCGGCAGCCACTTCCTCCTCCCATGCTCTTCGGCATGAACGCGGCGGGCTCACGAGAGAAAGAACGGTTCCCGCGGGGGAATCCGGTCTTCATGCGCTTGAGCGCCGCCATATCCGCCACCGCCATTTTGAAGGAGCGCGACGTCAGCACCGCTGTAGTCTTCAGC